GCACAGGTCATAGCGCAAATCAATGCAGAAGAGAGCTGGGTGTAAGTGCAGAAGAGAGCCTGGCCTGTCTGCACTGTGCACTACTGTCTCCCCGAAGACCCCGTGAGGGGAGGTGACCTCCCTGTTCTGCTGGATGATGGAAGGATAATGCCAGTGCAGCAAACATGCCGGTAGGCCATGAGAACACATTTTGCTGGAAACTGGAATTCACTGCACGCTGATCTGGCTTGGTTTCTGCTTCTAAATCAGACACTGTGGAGTCATCCTCCACCCCTCCTTTCTCTTATTCCCACTCCACAGCATCTTTTCTCCTCACCGGTGTAAATCCACCCTTGACTCCAGGGATAACCCTTTCCCATAACATCACACAGATCCTCAGCACCGTCTCTCCTCATTGTTTGGGGAAGGCCACCACCGTCTCCTGCCTGGCCTGGCAGTCGCCAGTCTGGCTCCCACCCCGGAGCAGGCTCCACACTGCAGCCAGACTGTGCCAAATGCCTCTGCTTCAACACCTGCATTAGAAGGGCACCTACCAACCCCTACAGTTAATATCCTACCTCATGGAAAAGACTGAGTGTTTAAAGACCATGAACAAGATGAGAATGTCCACTCTCACTACTTCTGTTCACTATTGTCCTGAAGGTTCTACCTAGTGCAAAACTTGTTTTTGAATAAATGCAACCAGATCGGAAAAGAACTAGAATTGTTTTTATTCACGGATACATAAAAAAACCCCACTAGAACTGTCAATGACAAATGCAGCTAGGTCGTGGGATACAAGATCAATATACAAACATAAATGGTCCTGGCTGGTGTGGCTCAGTGGAGTGAGCACGGATCTGCGAACCAAAGAGCACCAGTTCGATTCCCAGTCAGGGCACATGCCTGGGTTGCGGGCCAGGTCCCCAGTAGGAGGTGCATGAGAGCCAACCACACATTGATGTTTCTCACCCTCTCTCCTTCCCTTCCCCTCTCTCTAAAAATAAATAAATGAAATCTTAAAAAATAAATGGAATTTCTAGGTATAATTAAATATTATCAATACATAATTCAAAAATAAAATTAAATTAAAAATAATTCTACTCAGAATAGCATCAAAAAGAATAAAAATCTTAAGAGAAATGTCCAGTTCAGGATAGAGAAGGAAGACAATATGTTAAGCTTCCCTTCAAACTAACCCCCTAAATTCTCATGGCAATAACCTAAGGTGTACAAAAAGGAAGACTACACATGTGCATGTTGGAAACTAGGAAAAAGACAGACACCCACGTGCTGCAGTCCCTAAGGAATTTCTGTAAGGTGCAATGCTGGGAAAACCTGATGAAGAAAAAGGCCAACTGGGCAAGATGTTGACAGAGAAATACAGTTTAAAATGTGTTCTGAAGAAGTCACTTCAACCTAGTAGAATAAAAACCACAGAAAAAGCAAAGAAAACTTACACTTGAAAACAGAAAAAATAACAGTAAGAAGTTTAAAAACACAAAGCATAAATATTATATAAATATTACACAAAAGAGCAAATATACCAGTTGTCACCAAGAGATGTGAGAGAATTAAACTTTCCTGTTAAAGAGTCAAGACTCTGAGGAAAGATTTAAAAATAAAAATCCACTCTATCTTATACTAGGAGATACATCTAAAACAATGGTGTAGAAATATTAAAAAGAGAGAATTGGCAAAGAGGGACTTAATGAATGCAAACCTAAAGAAAATGAAGGTAGTGATATTAGTATAAAAGTAGAAGTTTAGGCAAAAAATTTGGGATAAACAAAATTTTTATATCAAAATATATATATAATTCACTCTGGAGATCTAAAGCTTAAAAATACATGCTGAAGAGTATAACATCAAAATATATAAAATAGCCCTGGCTGGTATGGCTCAGTGGATTGAGCACGGCCTGAGAATCAAGAGGTCACTAGTTCTATTCCCAGTCGGGGCACATGCTTGGGTTGCGGGCCAGGTCCCCACTGGGGGCTTGGGAGAGGCCACCACACACTGATGTTTCTCTCCCTCTCTTTCTCCTTCCCTATCCCTCTCTAAAAAGAAATAAATAAAATCTTTAAAAATGTATATATACACACAAAATAACAACTTAGAAATAAAAGGAGAAATTGACAAAAACAATAGTAAAAATGTAAAAACAACACACTGCTTATCCTCAACAAACATCATTTAGACAATAAAAATTAGAAGAATTAAATTATACTAACAAAAATTTTCCCCTTCAACCAAAGAATCTATGTTCTTTTCAAATGCTCATAGAGTAGTTACATAAAAATAATTTTACACTGTGAAAATAAAGTGAACAAATTCTCCAAAGTAGAAATCATAACCTAATCATAATGTAATACAAATGGATAATAATTTTTTAGGTCTAAAAAATTACTGGAAATTTTGAGGAAAAAAACCCTCGAGTCAAGGAAGGAACAAAACTGCAATTAGAGACTCTTCCCACAATGCCGACTCTCCATCAAAACGAATGGGATACGGTCGAAGTTGTACTTAGGGGGAAATGCTTCTCAACGTTTTTATTATCAAACAAGAAATAATGAAACTAATTCAATCCACAAAATCAACAGAAGAGCAATATCAGCCTGGGGTGAGTGGAAGAAAAGAATGAATACAGATAAAAACCAGAAATCAGTAAGTGAGATAACAGGGAAAGAAGAAAACGGACAAAGCCCCAGAGCTGGAACTTTTGAAAGACCAGACAAACAGGCAAACTTCCGGCGAGAAGAACCAACACACACGCACAGGCGCAGGTGCGAGAACAGGGACGTGATCCCAGACACCGTGGAGATGGAGACATTCTGGGGGACCAATTCTGCACCGACACCCTCGACAATCTCCATAAAACGGACGATTTCCTAGACAAACATACATGAAGAAACTGCTTCGTGAACAAAAAATTTCACAAAAACCTGGGGGTCCCCACCACATACACTTGCTATCCCCTGCCCACACCCAGAAGAGTGTCATTCCAAAAACCTTCAAGGAGCACATTTTCCATGCTGTCTGGATTATCCTCGGGGTCATTTCCCCTGGAGCGTTCTCCAAGGTGTGAGCTCCTCTGCTCTGGGGCTGCTGAGAGGCAGGGCACTCTCTCCAGCCCTGCCCTGGCTGGGCCTGAGTGCCCTTGGCTACTTCTGAAGTAGATCAGAAAGGTGACAGAGTGGAACCCAAGCAAGGATGACTTAGTGAAGGTACAGATTTGGGGAGCCTCCCCCCTAAACATGGTTGGTTGGCCAGAGGGGGCTGTGTGGGGGCCAGGTACACAACAAGCCAGGGCCTTCCCCGCCAGGACCCCCTCCCTTGGTCATGAATCCCCACACTTCCGGGCGAGTCCCAACTCTGGCGAGTCTTCCAGCACTTCACTCGGAGCCAGCAAACCCACACGTCAGAGCACAGAGGTCTGACCACCCACGTGTGGACTCTGCCCCAGCAGGCAGAACTGGAAGGTCTGCCCCCAGCTGCCCATACCCCAAGCACCTCATCAGCCTGATCGGATGTTGTATCTTTCACCAGTCATTCAACATTCATCGAAGTCAATGCAGGTGCCCTCCACGGTGTCACCGAAGCTCAACATCTGATGTGAGGACTCACTCCCCTGTGACCTCATCCCATCTCATGGTTTTAAGCACTATCCATCAGCCCCAATCTCCCAATTTAATCTCCAGCCCCTTGTCCTTGAACTCTAATCTCACATAGACTCAAGCCCAGGCCTGTCTCTCCATTAGCATATAACCTCTATGAAGACACTGGCCTTGACTTGCTCACTGCTACATCCCCAGCACCCAGGCTAGTGTCTGGAACATAATAGGTGCTCATTGGTGGAGTATCTGTGGAATGAATGAGGGAAGGCGACTCCTGACCCTTCACCCAAGTTTCACTGAACACCTACTGTGTGCCAAACCCAGCTGAGTGTCAAGGGAGACGGATAAATCCAGTCTTGTCTGAAAGAAAATCCTAGTTGGGGTGCCCCACCTCTGCCGCAGGCTTGGCAGCCTTGCCTCTGCACTGCCCAGAGAGGGCAGCTTGGCCGAGAGAAGAGGGGTGGGGCTGCCTTGTTAGTGTTGTCTGTGACCCTGCTGCAGGCATCTTAAACAAAGTCTGAGGTTAAGGACTTGGCAGGGAACCTCTCATTAGTGCATCATTAATTAGCACCCCAAGCTCCTCAGGACTGGGCTGATGAGCCATCAACCCTTTGGCTTCCTAGGGAGCCCAGAGCCTGGCTGGCAGGACTAGAGCAAGGCTTGCAATGGAGCAGGGGCAGGCCAGAGTCAACGGAACCTGAGAGCGATGACTCTGGAGCCTTTACCTTTGCCCCAGGGAAGTCTGCCCTTTCTGCAGAGGTGGCATCTTCCTCCTCTGTCTCCCTCCTCCATATGACCCCGGCCCCTGCTTGGAAGGCGGCTCAGGGTTACAGGAAAGCAGCCTCACCTTCTCCGTTGTTTTTCACTCTCCATCGACCACAATGGGGCTTGAGAGAGTAGGATAGACCCCAAATTTCTGACTGCACACCCCCAGCCGAGGCCACACAATGCAAGGCAAATTCCAACAAAGCATGAATAGTTTCTAACAGGATGCAAGACACAGCCACTATTATTATTAAGGCACACTTCAACTCATCTCATGGGTTCGAGGGGAGAAAATTAATTTCTGGGTGTACAGAGAATATACACCAACAGATATACAGACATATACCCATAAGCACACAAAATCAGTTTTCAGTAGAAAAACTTGAATTTCTCTATAACCCTTTTATGTGTTCTGTCTCGTCTTCCCCAGCATCCAACTCATCAACCCTGCCTGTTAGGCACTTCTAAGCAGGAGAAGGGAGCAGGGAAATGTAAAGAAAGCAGAGGAGTTGAGGGGCAGGCCTCATCAAAACAGGTCTTTGCTGAAGACCATAAATCCTCCACCCCAGTGGGCTCCTCCCCTCAGTGAGCTCGGCTCAAGGCCCAGCCGCCTGCTGTGGGGAAGAAGGCAGGTGGTACCTGGTTCGCAGGTTCTCCGGCTGCGGTGGGCCATCAAACACCGACAGGACATCAAAGTCCTCCTCCAGGGCGAAGGACTGGAAGACAAGCTGGATCCTGTGCTGGTCCTCGGCGGTGATGGTCCACGTGCAGTTGGCATAATTGGGGTAGCCGTACGGGAACCCTGGGCTCTCAACGGTCCCATTGGGACCCTGCAGTTGGAACGTGCAGTTCTGGCCTGAGAGAGAGAAAGGGAGCAGTTCAGTGTGGCTGAAGCACTCCTACAAGCTTCCAGAGGGACGGGGCACTGTGTTCGAGATTCATGAACCCGCTTTCCCAAGCGCTTCCCCTGGGCCAGCTCTGCGCTCGTCACAGAGCAGGGGGAGGTGGGCGGCCGACACGGAGTGCGAGAGGGTTGTGCCCGGCATAAACGTGCATCCTTGCAGCCGAGCCTCAGAACAGCTCCGTGAGGTAGGACCCGGAGGCTCAGAGACAGGGACGTCAAAGGCAACCAGGCCTGGCAGAGCGTGGACTTCCCCGCTACGCTAGACGCCAGAGTGACGCTTTCAGACCTCCCCCTTCTTCCCCAGCCCGCTGAGTCTCCGGGCTTTCATCTCAGCTCCTGGCCTCTCCTCTCACTCTCCACAGAAAACAGAAGCCACCCGTGGGGATCCCCAGTTCCAAAGCCATCTAGCCTGCCCCACGCAGACTAGACATTCCTTCTTCTGGCAGAGGAACACCTCTCCTCTGATCTAAACATTAAGGACGACAAAAAAAGCGGCGGGGAGTGGGGGGGGTGGTTCTACCGAAAGTAACCTCACAGGGAGATCTGATCAAAAACTCCTAAATGCTGGGTGGCCATGCTTCGGGCCTATAATTTCTTTAATGAAAGGTTTTTATCTTTGCCTTAAGCAAGCCTTGCCCCTTCTTTCTGTGCTTAATGAACCTCTGAAATGCCTCTTTTCAGACTCTTCTGGAGAAAAACCAGCCTCAAGAGAGCCCATATTCTCATTGCCCAGTAATCCCATCCCTGCCTTGCTTTCTCCTGCCTTCCCGGAATCTTCCTCCTGTTCCCTAATTCCAAATGCATAAAAGAAGCTGCAAACTGTCCTTCTAGGAAGCATTTCTAAGACTGTTGAGATCTTGCTTCAAGGCATATCCTCTGGCTCAAGTAAAACTTTTTAAAAATTATTTATAGGTCTGAACATGCTCATATCAACAACATAATCTTTTTGTGTGCCCTGAAGATCCAATTCCCTCCTCTTCTTCATGAGCCTTATATACGGTTCTCTCTTCGGCACAATACGAACCTATGCTTACACTTTTCCTCTCCACGAGAACCTTCCCATTTTAAATGTGCTCAAGAGTCCATCACTAAGAAAGCAATTCCCCACTCCACTCCATATCTCCCTCCAGCCTTATCTCTGTCTTCATCTTTACAGCCAATTACTAGAAAACACAACCTCTCTGTAATTTTTGTTTCCATCTTCCCATTCACCCTCCAGCCCTGTTGCTTCCACGTTCTGGTCCCAGTGACCTATTCAAACAGGTCTACTAAGGTCGCTGATGGGTCCAGTGGGCATTTTTCAGTCTTCCTTTAACAGAGTTCTCTCTCAGCTGCCTCTGACACTGTTGTTCACAAACACCCTTCTTCTGGAAACGTTCCTCCCAGGCCAGAGGTCTCAGGTGGCTCTGTGCATGCACACTGCCTGGGAACAAGGCTGACATGTAGATTCTGACCCACGAACGGCATGTGGGTGGGGCCCGAGTGTCTGCTGCTCTCCCTCCCTGGTCTTGGAGGGAAGCTGCTGGCGGGGACATCATCTTTGCTCTTCAAAAGATAAAAATCACTTAAGGTCTGCAAGGGTCTCTGCACAGTCAGGCTCCTAGAGACCTCTTAGTCTCGTGTCCACTAGTTTCCAGACAAACCCCACCCTTCTTAGTCCTCTGTAGCGGCTACGCTCTCACTGCACAACCACAGGACTTTTGCATATGCTGTGTTTTCTCTGCCTGGAACGCTCTCCCCTCCCTTCCTGGCATATTTATCTTCCAGATCACAAGTCAAACCCCCCTATTACATGCTGTCATGGCACCATAACCTCTCCTTGGTAGCACTTGTTACAGAAGCAAACCTCCATGCTTCCATGTCATTATTTCACAAATATCTGTCTCCTTGCCAGGATCTATGCTCCCTGAGAAAGCAGGCTGTGTGTGAGTTTTCCCATTTTTACAGCCACACATCCAGCTCAGTACCAGGCATGTGATAAGTTCTCAATAATTTAATATACTGTTTGTATTTGGTGAGTGTTTGGTTAGGCGTTCTTAACAGCTTTCTGTATGTTGACCTGTTTAATCCTCCCAAAGCCCTATAAGGTGGATACTATCAATATCACCCCTATTTTACAGGCAAGAAACTGAGGCAAAGAGAAATTAGGGGAGAGGCCCAGGCACACCGTTACTCGCAGGTGGGATTTGCATGTAAGCCGCCCACTTCAGGTCCACCTTCTTAACTATGATGCTGATAAACTGACTCAACCTAATTTGTTCAAGCCCCTTTTTAAAAGTTAGGGATTAACCTACAAAGGACAATTGACCTTTAAAATGAGTAATATTGAGAAAAGCCTTAACACAACATATCCCAGTAAAAGAGAAAAAGTCAAGTTCTTCTGAACAAATGCTAAATGGGCATTTCATAAAATAAGGTATGTAAACCTGATTAAAATAAGCATTCAGGACCGGGAGAAAGACTATTTCCTTCACCGTGATAAAGCATCACTTTAGAACAATTATCTACACCGTGCTTCTAGTGAAATACCTGATTGAGATCAGGAATGAGAGACAAATGCCACCATCACCTCTGAGATGTCACGCCTGTTGTAAGAGCCCACGCAGCACGAGGAAAGGCGATGGGGGGGAGGCACCCACATGGTTTGCAGGTGGCGTGTTAACACACCCAGAAAACCCAGGAGAATCAACTATAATGTTGTTGGAACTAGTAAGAAATTTCAGTCAAGTAGCCAAATGCAAAATACATACACAAAATCAAAAACATTTCTGTATGCCAAAGACAGATGAAAATATAACGAAAAAATATTGTTTATGATAACTACAAAATGCATGCAATAAATAGAAAAAACTTAATAAGGAGCATGTAGGCACTGTATAAAATAACTTTCATAGAGGGATAAAGGTGTCTGAATAGCTGGAGAGACATAGCATAATCTTGAGTGGAAAGAATACTGCAAGGTTAATTTAGAATATTAACCTTTTGAAAAGGTATTGAAAAGTTAATTTATAAGCTTAATGCAATTCTGATCAAAAGCCTGATGGCTTGTTTTAAATTTAGTAAAATTATACCTAAGTATAACTGGAAAAAGAGTTACACACAAAAATTTTAAAGGTAGTAAATGTGGTGGTCTTATCCTACAAGACACTGAACAGAACCATCAAATAATGCTTATGAAAATAGTGTGGCCATGGTCCAAGAGTGGACGGGCAGAACATGTAATGTTATTGCAGGATTAGCCTTAATACAGGTATAAACTGAAGTATGTGTAAGGCAATATCTAAAAATCAATGAGTAAAGAAAAAATGTTGAGGAAAGAATTATCTCCTCAACTCACACCACGTACTAAAATAAATTCCAGACACAATAAAGGGATATAAGTTTAAAAGAAACGAAGCCAAAAAAAAATGATTAGAAGAAAATATAGGCAAATAATTCTGTAACTGTAATTCTCTGAACATAAAAGCTGTGGAAGACACTACAAGATTGATGTGAAAGCTACTATAAGGTTGATAGTTTTATCCAAAAAGTATTTGTGCTGGTATGTGAAAAACAGAATCAAAACCAAAAGGCACACAAAAATGTGAGGTAGAAAGTAATGTCCTTGGTGCAGAAAGAACTCTGACTGGTCGACAGGAAAACAGCCAGCATTGCCGCTGAAAGACTGGACAGAGTCTTGAATAAGTCAGTTCATGAAAGAAGACATAAGGAGCCCAGAAACTAGAAAAGCAGTCACCCACAGTAACCATGAAATAAGACTTCCATCTCCACGACTTCCAAAGGAGTCCCCCTAGTTCACTTCCCTCACTGGCAAGGACCCCCTGATCTTCTCAGCTCCCACTCTAACCCCTGCCTGGTAATGTCTCTGTACCACGTCATTCATTCGCTCACACGTGTGTGCATGCATGCATTCATTCCTCCGGGTTACACCTGTGATGAACAATGGGCTCAGACCACAGGCTAGACGTAAGCAAATACACCACATGGCAGTTCCCTGCTGAAGGGATGCACCGAGTACTTCCGGAGCACAGATCCCACAAGAGCCGCACCTTCAGGGCTACCCTCATGGTGTCCTGGACAGCCATTGATGCTGACATTCGCCACCATCCCAGCACCCCAGACTGCTGCCTGGGCTCAGACTGGCTCAGTTCTGCAGTTTCTGACTCAGCATCTGGGTGCAAACGATGAGGAAACAGGTGCAGGGGGCTCAGAACAGAGCCCCAGGGAACACCTTCTGCATATGAAGAACAAAGGACAAGATGACAGAGTAGGGGGCAGGGAGGCCAGCAGAATGGTGGGAAGAGACCCAGAGGGCTCTGAGATGCAGGGAAAGGTGACCTGATGCGTGGAGCACTAGAGAGAGGCTGAGATGAGGGTCTTTGAGGTCGCTCAGTCTGAGGCCTAAATGGCCCCTTGGGATGTAAGGACTCGGAGAGTGGGAGCTTTGCCCTGGTCCCTACTTCATCCGCAGTGCCTAGGATTCAACAACTTTGCTGAATGGATACATGAATCTTAGCAAAGGCAGGTGGGGAGGTGGCCAGGGGCCGGATTATAGCAGGTAAAGGCGAGATCAGCTGCTGAGAAGGTGGAGGCCATTATACTTTCAATAGTAATGTATACATTTTTTTTTCATTTTAGAAAATTTGGAAAATAATGGCAGGAATGAAAAAGAGGAAACATTATAATCTCACCTTCCAGAGGCAACTGCTGTTAATATTTTCATTTATTTTTTTCTAATTTTCTAATGCCATATTTCACACTGGTGAGATAATGTATATTTAATTTTGTGTTCTCTTTTCTCAGCAAATTATTCTTCAAATTACAAAAGGCCGTGGGCCCCCGTAACGCGCGCAGACAGGCAGACTTGCAACAGAAAGGCTGATCTCCCGCCGCTCTCCCTTCTCCCTTCCACCCGACGCGCAGCAACTGAGGCTCACAGGCAGGCAGGTGTG